CGGAGAAACTCTAAATGTATTTCCTTTTAGAATGAGAACAAGACAAAGACGCCCTCTACCACTAATACGGTACTGAGGGCGTGTCAAATGGTAGAGAGAAAGAAAAAGAAATCAGATATAAGCATTTGAAAGGAAGAGGTAAAATTATCACTTTTTTCAGATAATATGACCAGAAAAAGACCAGAATTAACAATCCATTCGAATAAGATTACACAAAATTGTCAACTACAAGATCAACTTAAAACCTGACAAAACCAAATTTCAACATTCTAGCAATAATAAAATACAAAATACAAAATAAAATAAGCATAAGAAATATAAAGGATCTCGTAATTAAACTAGTAAAGGCTGTATAAGGTCTCAATGGGAAGTTTTTTATTAAAATTTCAAAAATTTAAAGCAAGAACTGAATAAAAGGAGGGTCATTCATGTGCTAGGTAGGATGACATTATCATATAACATAAAGATGATCATTCTTATATAATGACAATTAAAATTCCAGAATGGAAAAAGGAGTTTCCTCAAACTGGTAAAAGCTATTATTATAAAGAGAAAAAGAAAACGTGGCTTTGACATCATTCTTTAAACATCTAGTGGCTAGATTCCACAAGGACAAAGGCCTAAACATGAAAGATGAAACTATACAAAGTGGAAAATAATGTGAGAGTATCATTATAAACTGTGGTGGGAAGTGATTTTTTTTAAATGAATCCCCCCAAAGATGAATTTTTTTTTCCACATCAAAATTAAAGATTTCTGCTCAACAAAAGAAACCATGATCTAAGTTGACAGAGAAAAATGGGGAAGGCCCTTTGTTTTCTTTTACCCCCACCACCGGCTTCTTTTTTGGATTTTTTAAGTACTGTTGAAGACCAACTGGAAAGATAAACCACACAGGAAACGACACAGGTATGAACAGTTGATTCAAATTAGAGGAATTATGAAAGCAACAAATGAAGAGATGCTGAAATGCAAATATTTAATAAACTAAAATGGAAACAATGATAAATCACTTTTGGTGCACAGAAACTGAAAGCTTCCAAGTTTGGGCTGGGATGTGATACAGGGAGATTTATACACTGCTGGTGGTAATGAAGACGAGGCAGTCATTTTAGATAGCAAGCTGGCAGTGTGGGTAAACTGAATGTACTATATATTGTTCCTAGTTATAAACATCCAAGAACATTTCTGAAAAAGACCCATAACATGCATGTATAAGGCTGCCGTGTACAACATTTCATTCTTTATTCTAGCAAATATACATATACCCTTTAACTCAGCAATCCTGTTTTGGAATGTAATGCATATTTTATATATAGTTTATTTCACAGTTTTTATATTTCTCTGCTCATGCAGATTCATGAGGCTTGTGTATGCAGCTTTTTATACGAGGTAACATTGTTGGAAGAAAGGAGATTGAAGCAATCTAAGAGGCCATCATTGGTGGTAGAGATAAAGAAATCTGAAAGTGTCCTAAGAATACTGGTAGAGTTAGAAAAGGATGGACTAGCTCTTTCCAGCTGGGAATCTCTCGGGATAACTGGCACAAGCGCTGCAAGACTGGGGGCAAGAGAAAGCCCTACCACAAGAAGCGGAAGTATGAGTTGGGACGCCCTGCTGCCAACACTAAGATTGGACCGCGTCGGATACACACTGTCAGAGTTCGAGGAGGCAATGAGAAGTACCGTGCTTTAAGGCTGGATGTGGGTAACTTCTCCTGGGGCTCTGAGTGTTGTACTCGGAAAACAAGGATCATTGATGTTATCTACAATGCTTTTAATAATGAGCTAGTCCGCACCAAGACCTTGGTGAAGAACTGCATTGTGCTCATTGATAGCACACCTTACGGACAAGAGTCCCACTATGCATTGCCCCTGGGCAGCAAGAAGGGGGCCAAGCTGACTCCTGAGGAGGAAGAAATATTAAACAAAAAGCAGTCTAAGAAAGAAGTATGAGGAAAGGAAGAAGAATGCTAAAGTCACCACTCTTCTGGAGGAGCTGTTCCAGCAGGGCAAGCTTCTTGCTTGCATTGCATCAAGACCAGGACAGTGTGGCCGAGCAGATGGCTATGTTCTAGAAGGCAAGGAGTTGGAGTTCTATTTGAGGAAAATCAAAGCCCGGAAGGGCAAATTAGTCCTCCTCCCTTCTGTCTTAGCTCATGTAATAAAGGTGTTTATTGTTCTAGAAAAAAAAAAAAGAAAAGGATGGACTAAATGTGGTACAGGGGTGGCTGGGGCTGCTGCTCAGCGGTAGTGCACTTGCCTAGCATATGTGAGGCAAGTGGGATTGAGTCTCAGCACCTCATATAAATAAAATAAAGGTCTATTAACGACTAAAAAAATTTTTTTTAAATGTGGTACAGAGCCAAAAATGTAAGGAAAAGAATGAGATCGATAACAAATAAAATTAAAAATAATGTTCAAAACACCACTTATAAAAATAGATAATAAGTTACCTATGGCGGGAGGCAGGGAATGGCAATAAAAATGAAAGCCATAAATGAATGAGAGAGACAAGATTTTCATAGATCAGTTAATGAAATACAATATGCCATAAATTGAAGGGTATGAAAGGGGGAAAAGGGCAGGTGAAGAAGGAAATGAGGGATGAAGGAAGGGACAGAGGGAAGGTGCGAACCACACCATAACTCAGCTGTCTCGTGACCCTCCCTGGGGCTGGCAGCATGGGAGCTGATCTGGTTTGTGGGGTAGGGTGGAGGGTGTTTCAGGCTGGGCAAGCTAATGTGACTGCCACCTCCCAGGACTCCTGTGTTAACCTTGGTCCCCAAGGGCACTGGCTGTACAGAAACAACTTGGCTGAGGGACTGGTTCCTGGAAAGAAAAGAAAGACACCTTCAAAAGAGAACTAATTAAAAGTCCTTTTTGTGACAGATAATCACAGGGAACAATCTGCATTTTCCAGGGAGGTGGAGAAATCAACTGGTCTTTCTAAAACCAATTTCCAGGATGATGAAGTGACACTCTCCTCCAAAGAACAAGGCCATGTTGCAAAATACAAATAAATCCTACTTACTGTAATGGAAAACTTCATTTGACTGTCAAGTCTGGGAAGGTCAACAACAAAATTGCTAGCAATAACGGAGTTCTCACCGAATTAACAGGCAGGAGGCAGACTGGACAACCTTTGGCTAAGGACAAGCAGGCCTGGGCACTATCTAAATTTGAATCTGCCACTAGCTAGCCATATAGCTTGGAATAAGTCATTGAGCCTCTTAGACTGTTTTCTCATTTGCAAAAGAAAACCAGATGGAGTCCAAGGCTTCATTTAGATGCAACATCTTACTATCTTTTGATTTTCCGTTACATCAACAATTAATCATTTGTTATTGCATCAATTTTCTCTACATACTTTCTAAGATGGAACTTTTAGTAATGATTTTTGCTTATTTGATTCTACTTTGTGAAGTGTGAGGATCACACATAGGGTTTCCTTCTGTGGGGGGAGTGTGGGGGTATGGGGGAACAGTGAAATGAGTCTCTGGTACAGTAAATTTTTTCCAAACTGTATAATAAACTTTAGTAGTTCATGTTACAACTTGCTGGGCCAGTCATTTCTCACACTCTTGCACAGACGTGTCACAGCTCCATCAGTATGTCGTTTCTCCTGACCAGCCAGCCTTGGGCCACAGAGCCCTTTCCCCAAAACACTCTCCTATTGATTTTCTCAACAGTTGCAACCCTCTTTCTCAGTTGCAACTCCCATTCCACTCCGATTCTCCTTGTCCACACATCAACTTATAGCCTACGGTATATTTTACAGATGTGCTCTACTATGTTGCTGTCCACCACGCCCCCACTCTCTCTGTTTTCATCCCTAACGGAATGTAAACTCCTCCTTGGTAGGGGAGCTCTGTCGATTTTTGCTCAGTGATATATTCCAGGCAGCCAGAACAGTGCCTTGCACATAGCAGTCACTCACTGGAGATTTGTTGGATAGAGAAATAAATTAAAAGGAATAAATTATTACAATTCTAACATATTCACTTAACTCTGCTTTCTATAGCTACAGTGTTACCAAGTGCTCCTACTTTTAGTTCACTTAGCACTTAAAAATCAGAGAAACTGCATAATCTAGGAGTAAATAAAAAATTAAAAAGAAGGATGATTCCAAATAGTAAAATATTGTCAAAGTTTAGAGATATCCCTTTCTATACCACAATGAACTTCCCCCTCCCACATCCATGTTTATTTGAAAAGAGAAAGAACTTAAGATGATTTCAGGGTAAATAGGGTAGAGAGAGGCCTGATCCCCCATCTCCATCCCCTAGTACCTAAGGAAATGAACAAAGGCAATAATAAAGAAGCCCAAGAGAAACGATGGCAGAATCACCTTCCAATTCCTACCCTCCTGAAGTTGGATCAATTATTCAGCAAAACTCAATTCTAAGAGATTTACTCTAAAATCCTCAAAATCTAAAGTGGGACAAATGAAGTGGGGCTTCTTAATCATCTTCCTTGACTGTAAGGATGAAGATGTAACTGCAATGCCGAGGGCTGGGGAGACCAGATCTGTGCACAGCAAGGACTGACCTCTCTGGCAGGAGAGAGTGCAGGGCGCAGGCGCAGGCAGTTCAGCGCAGCTCCCTCATAAACAACTGCTGAGCTCAGCTCCTCAGCTCCCCCTCAGTGCTCTGCCTTATGTGCAGATAAGTAGAAGGCAATGGACAGAAATGCCCGGTTCTCCAGCGGAAACACTGGGGCTGGAAGGGGGTCAAAAAGAAGTAATAGCAGGGGATCAGGGCACTGAAGGCTGGACACAGTAGCAAGATGGAATGAAAGGGCGTGCCTGTTGAGTAACATGCTGTTTTAACAAATAGCTGAAGAAGGGCATGTTATGTGGAAGAAAATGGCCAAAACCCAAAATCCACAATCCCCAAGAAATAAGAGAAAGTATTTTGTGTTTCAGAAACAACTTAATAAGAGAACAGGAACAAGAATACAGTGAAACTAGAGCTATAAGACAATCACATAACAAAATGAAATCTAGAAAGAATCTGACCAGACTAAAATCACAAATCAATGACCAAAACCGCATCATTATGAAGCTAATATAAAATTAATATGGCCCCAAACTGTACTTCAGAAAGGTTTGAAGGAATCAGAGATAAAAGGCAGAAATTATAGGTATCATTGATACATATTGTGAAGGGAAAAATGTCATTCCTTTAAAGGTTAATGGGCATCCCTGAAGCAGAAAACTCAGACCCAAATATTCAAAGATCTAATATAAAAAAAAGAAATCCTTAAGACGAATAAGTAATAGAATAAGTCAAAAGAGCACACTCTGTTTTTAGGAAAAATAGATAAAGAACAATCAACTATGAGACATAACCTGGTTAAATTTCAACCATGCTTTAAGTGCCAAAGCTTAAGAAGCAATTCCTCCAAAATTCTAAGGGAATAAAGCATAGTATTTGACTATCATTTCTAGCCAAGATCATATTCATATATAAAGGTAATCCTTAGATATTCTTGCACATGAAAAAACTTCAGAAATTCACCATTCATGAACCCTCCATTAAAAGTCTTGACAATCTAGTCAGTGCAGTAAGTAAAACACAGGTACCAACAGTGGCCTAGCAATGCAGGGAGGTGAAAAGGCTTGCTTCAAATGCAGGCCATGAGGGAAGAATTATAGAGAGAGAATTTAAAATCAGCATCAACCCCACTAAAGGTCAGTTGCTTTTCATACAGCCATGTGTCAGCATTTCTAAACAATGCAAATGACGAAAATCTCTCCTCTGCGGTGGAAAGTTCTATGTCCTGTCGATCTCCACTAAACCCTTGATCTGCCTCTCAGAATCAGTAACAGAAAAAGATTAGTACTGAGCACTGAACTCACTTAATTATAAAATTAACTGTAAATTGAGCAGAATATAACATTCTATATCTTGACAATATGAAAATAAAAACAAATGAAAAATCAAGATTGGATTATGGAATAGAACACAAATATTATATACCTTGATCTTGATTATGTGAAAATAACAGTGTAACACACAGACATCTAGAAGGGGAGAAAGGAAAGAGTGAGTGTGTCTATGATCCCATTATCATGGCAGGGAGGACACAAGTATGGTCTAACAAGGAAATGGTAGAACAGTTCTTTAAGCTATCTATGTCTAAGACCAAGTCGTGGACATCAGTGAGTTGACAAATTCGTTTCTCACTCCAGTACCCTCCACGGCAGGGCCATGTGCACTGCTCATATGACCTCCTGCAGGAAGATGAGCATCCAGCTCACTGAGGCAGGAGAAGAAAGGGTGAGGAACTGGAGACTGGAGACTGAACACATCCATTCATAAGTGACACTTGTCATTTCTGCTCACATTTGTGGCTAAATAAGTCACAAGGTCATATTTAATTTGAAGAGAGTGAGGAAGTATGATTCTCTTCTGTCCCAGAAGGGGGCAAGAACTATGTGAATAACAACAGTTGTGAATACCACAGAAACTTACAAGAGGAAAAACACAAAACCCAAACCAGCAAGTTCTTCATCATCTCTTTTCTTAAATATATATATATATATATATGAATTCTTACTGTGGAAAAAATGTTTATTCAAAATTCAGAAATTCTTTAATTCTCATTTAGTTTCTTTTTCTCTAGTTAAATTCTACTAAAATTAAATGTAATGATTTTTAAATTTAAAAATTAGCACATATCATAAAATCTCACTTTTGTAGTCTATCACTTTAACCACTCAGGCATAAGTATAATTTCTCATCCCAGTTTTGTGAAAGCACTTTTGTCTAGCTGGCTAGCTCTTTCTGTGTATGCTACCATCCATCCACCCACCCATCCATCTCCCATTTGTAAACACACTTAGACAAATGTTCACTTAATGCTAATGAAGCTTATTTCTGTTTTTCTTTTTCATGGTGCTGAAGCTGGAACCCAGGCCATCATGCACACTAGGCAAGTGCTCTAGCACTGAGCTATATCCCTAGCCTAAGCCTTACTTCTTATTGATAGGATTTGTGACTTTTTTCTACTTTTCTTGGATAAATGAGTGTGCATCATTTTTATAACAAAGTCATGAGAATCTGAATGAGAAATAACATTAACTAACCTTTTATCATTAAGCCATTAGAACACCACTAACCTTTTATCATTAAGCCTTTAGACCACTGAGTGCTGAAAGTAAGTTTTTGTACTGTTATAGAAAGGAAGGGGGAATAAAGGTAGAGAAATATGATATTCCATGATCATTATAAACTGTCAAAAAATAAA